CCACCCACCCCCCCAGTGCCCATTGCTCTGACTTCACTGGTTCTAACAACACGATTTATTTTGAACTGCTATTTCCAAATCAGAGCAAGCAACAAGAATTTCCTCTTGCTGGGTGTGGTGAGGGAGGTCTCCCATGCAATTTCAGGACACAAGCTTGATTTTGTAAGTTAGGGTAACTTGAGCTCTCCTTAAAAAGCAGTGTCCTCTTCTGCTGTAATAAGACTGGAAGTTTATTTTAGCTCTGGTAATAAACAAGGTACAGCAAATACAGTACTATCCCACTCAACTCCTTTCAGCTCCTTGGAGACTGATAGCATGCTCCCTCTTTCCTGCCATCTACACATAAAATCACCAAGGATCCTTCATGGTTGCAGTATGGTTGCCATGAGTTTCTTCTTTTTGTGGAATAAATGTATACTCCACCTTATCAAATGCGGTGACACTTACAATCTCTAACATATTTGTCCTTAAAATTAATTATTGAAATAGAAATATGGTATTATAATTATGTTACACCTAGTTTAAATAGCAGCCCCTGTCACACCAGAAGTCAGTGGTAAAGTGCAGAGCTGACCTAGAATGTCTTGGCAGTGTGATTTGTGTCACGATCCCTGCAACTGCACAGACACCACAATAGCAGTCAGGCCATCAGTACGCAACCTCTACTGATCATATTTGTACTAGCTACATAAAAATAAAATGTTTGTTCTCCTTTTGCTTGTCTTTTCAGCTATCCAGTTCCATGTACTTTGATGTAATTTCAGTTCACTGATGCAGTATTTCTGTTTGTGTATTGCAGGTGGCTCATTCATGGAACTGTGCTGCCTAGCATGACATTGTACAGTCACTTACAACAGCAATGATTACCCCGGGCATCTGCAGTACTGATACACCAACCTCAGTAACATTGCAGGTAAGAAAGCGAGAAAGCAAAGGAAAGGGGTTTTTTGTTAACAAAGTGCAAAAAAAGGGTTGTTCCCATACCATAGCTCATCAACACCACATAAATTAAAACCCGTTTCCATTATAGCCCCTCAAAGGGACCATGTAATCTTAATGGATGGAAGTCTGTAATTCTGAACAGTGGCAAACATGTATGATACTTTCCATATCAAACACCACCTCTGAGGACTAGGAAAAGTTTTTGTAGGGTAATTTTTGTTGTTATCATTTTCGTTCCAAAAATACTTTTGACACAAATTAATTAATTGATACCTGACTTACAGCTGCCTTTTCAAATCTGAATTTTTGGTCTGAGTACTATTGAATTGCATGCCATTAAAAATGTGACATACAGCTTGAAATTAGACTGAATAGTGTAAAGGATTTGTAAAGAAAGTGACTACAATCAGTTGTCAATAGGCATCGGAACAGCTCTCCCTCGATGATTACATGCTGAGCACCCACTCGTTCTGGGCAGAATGGTTCTCCCAGTCTTGAGCTACATGGTATTTTTGCCACCTTTCCAGGTTAAATTAGCACTGGATACTTTAAGGGCAAAGCCAATTGTTTTCTGTATTAAAAACCTGAATGACTATTAGCAAATGACATGTAAAAGCAGATAATGCAGATAAATGAGGCTGGCCTAAAAATAGCCTATTTTTAATAGAGAAGCAAATGGGGATTTTCTAGTCTGAGGAGTTCAAAGATGACACCTTAAAATATCTTCCCCTATTCATAATAAAGGGAAGTTGAGATAGTAAATGCTATTAATTTATAATATCTCTCCGCTGAAAGAAACAGAACAGGAGGATCTCTCATTCTCCCCCACCTGTGTCAATTATTCCCATGCATGTGACAGTATCATGATTTGTGATCGTGCTGGAAATGTCATAAAGATAAGGTTTCTGATGTGAATGACAAGACACATTTTGTAGGGAATAACTTTGTTAACCTTTAAAAGAGTGATGCATATCAAATACATATTAAAAAAAATAGATATAGATAAGAGATTATGGTGTGCATTAAAAAAACAAAATGGGATGTGCAAATTGAGCTAAATTTTAAAGAACAACCTGAATTTTCATCTAAATCTGTACTCAGACCTCAAGCTTTGTAATTTTGGTTGAATGTTTTCTTTCTGAGTAATATATTACATACCGTGAACATCCTCAAAGAATTATGCCCTCTTCTTTCTCTCATATTTTGTATGCTTCCAGTACAAATCTAAAATAACATTTATTGACAGTTGTATCTAGGAATGCATATTGCTAAAATGACTTCTTTTTTTGTTTTTGTGGGTTTTGTTTCTTTTTTTTTAATGAAGATTGACTTTCCACAAACTAATCTGGAGTTCATTAAACCTGAACCTGACAAAAGAAGGAGGTGATCCTGAAGAGCCAACCAAAGACTGCCTGAAGCATATTGCAAGACTTTCACAGATATTCTCCCTTTCTGTAAGTTGTACCCAGCTAGCCCTGCTGATTCTTGGCTTGCTGTACTTATCCTATTGATCACAGTTAAATGTATCCAATTCTTTAAAACCAAAATTTTCCTCTGAAGGAGCCTATCTTGATTGATCTGAGAAGTAACACCTCTAAATGAGAGAACAGATCACAGTAAAGCCTAAATGAGCCCCTGGAGATGGCAGTGTATTTTGCCAGTTTAGAGAAGGATTGTTTTTCTATCACTGTGTCTTTTCATGTCTTTGAAGTGAGAAACTAATTTTTGATTCAGAACATAAGATTTTGAGGTGATGCACAAAGTCTATATCAGTATTAGCAAGAAAACCTTTGGGTTCTATGAAAATCAACCTCCTCAGATATAGTAGTTAAATGTCATATGATTCTTAAAACACAATATGTCAAGTTATAAACAAGGAAAGAAGCATGGAAAGTTTTCACAGAAAGTAAATAAAGAAAAAGTGAAACAAAACACACTGTATATACTGAAGCAGGTTAATAGACTCAGCTATATGTTATGCTATCAGTTAGGATTATGTACTGTATAAAATACATTTGTTTATAGTCAGAGTGGAATTGGGAACACAGGTGCTCACAGAGAGCTATTATACCAATCACAATTAATTGTGTGAATTAATCCTCCATCAAAGGCCAAAAGGTGCATTTGTTGTGCAATAATTAAATCACTTAAAGCCATTTCAGCCCTCTCAGTGGGATATGATGTATGTGTTAAGAGGACTTTTCTGTGATGATTTCTATGTTGGCTGTTTGGGGTTTTTAAATTAATTTCTCAAAAGAAATATGAGACGAACTTGCTGATGTATTTGATGTTTACCTCAACTTTTAAAAATACACGATGAAATGTAAAAATATTTTTATTAACCATGGAATCCGTGATTTGGTTCTTTTTTACTTTATTTTTAAATATGAATGGGAGGTCAGTATTTTATTGTAAACAGCCACTGTGTTAGGGCACCGACAAGGTGCCAGCAAAATTTCCACCTTCAAAATATGCTCCAAAAGTGATTTGGGGAACTTCAAGCCAATGCATCTGATCTCTATTCATGATAAAATGGTGGGTTCTATAAGAAGAATAAGATCATTAAGCATTTAGCTAAGTATGGAGTAATTAGTCAGAAAAGTGTCATTGTGGCTTCTGTGAATATAAACCCTGCCTCACCAACCTGTTTCTGTCCTAGAAGGTTGTTAGTGGGTGCATGGATATTGGGAATTTGGTGGACATAAGACAGTTGGATGCTCAGAAAACTTCGCTGAGATTCCAGATCATATCGTTAAAGAAATGAAGTTGCCATGGGTTTAGAGGTAAAGATTGGATGTTTAATGGTGGCTATTCAGAATGGAGGAATCAACAGTAAGATCTGTCAGTGCTCAAGGCTGGGACCAGTTTTAATCAGCATCTTCATCAATGACATGAAGAAGGAAGTAAATGGGAAAATCTCCAGGTTTGCAGATTGTACTGAGCTCTGCCGGATTGTCAAACACTGTGCTGGTCTACCAAGTGAATCATCAAGGTGAAAGAAAGACTCTTTGGGGTTTGAATAAAGGAATTCCATTTTTAAGTACTTTCTGACCAGAAGGAGTCTGTCAGCCTCTAATTTGTGTTGTATCTGTATCAGAGGAATTCTTTTTACCTCCTCAGTCATGATAGATTTTCATTTTAAAAATTTCTAACAATATACTGGTATCCTAGCACATTACCATGATACCTAAAGATCTCTTCCTTATTTTTTTGGTATGTCAAGAAAAAGAGAGAAATTTAAGTAGTCTTAGTGGCGATGTATCTGTATGATGATGCCTCAGGCTTACAGACCTTAAATACAATTTTTAAATAAATGGGTGTCTCGTTAGAAAACTAAGAAACCATTCTCAGGCTGTCAGGATCTTTCTGTTCCCTCTACTGAAGGCAGAGGGAACATGTGAATGGACAGCAAATGTTCAAAAAAAAAAAAAAAAAAAAAAAAAAAAAAAAAGTAAAAACAGACAGCTTATGAATGCAAGGCTGATGTGGCTCCATGTCCCCAAGTTCAGACATTAGTAAGCTGGACCGTATATTCCTGATCAGTGTATCAGCACAGAAGGAAAGCAGTACCTCACCAGCATGCACAGAAATGTGCAACACTGCCACGAAACAGACAACACAGCCTGATTCTGTTCCTCCTCTCTGCCTGATCAGGATCAGTCTCCTGGTGGAATATATACACATGCATACACATACTTATTTTTATATATAGTATCAAAATATTGATTGCTTCAGTAGTTGTGCTCAGTCTATCCAGTAGGTGGCCCCAGATCTTCCTGCTCTCTCCAGCTGCTGACACCCAGACATATGAGCCCCAAGGTTCACAGCCACACTCCAATTTGGTTGCTGGCACTTGGGCCTCTTCCTGTATCCTGAGGAAAAGTTTCCTTACTGAGGAAACAGACATGGGTTTCCTCAGTAGCTGGTCCAGACATATGGTCTTCCCAGTAGCTGACTCTCGCACCCCTGGCTCTCTAGTAGCTGGCACAGATCGCTGGTCCCCATGGCCAATATCTCTTGGATGTTGATTAATGAGGGGATCAGCAGGACTAAAGGAAATTAACTTCACCTTATGGCACTTGTGCTCCTCACAGCCCTACACTGCTGCTGTGTGATCTTTAGTGTCATCACCAAACCAGCTAGGAGAGGGGACACCAAGAGAATTCATTAGTTACTGCCAGCGACTTTGGCTGACTTCTGAAAACATTTCAGATGTGAGCCTTTGATTCCTTTTAGGATTACTATGTTTGAAATACAAACCCCAGAAAAGTAGCCATCTGAGATAATGGCTGCTCTTTGAACTTGATGCAGCCTGCTTGTGTGCAGTGGCTCCCAGTGTAAGGATCAGAGACTGGTTTGAAACCAGGAAGATGAGTCTTGTTTCTGCCATCTTTCTTTCCTTCACTTATCGTTTTAATTCTACCTTATTTTTTCCTCTCTTTCAGCTTCCCTTTTTCTTTTCTTTTTTATCACTTTCCTGGTAAGAATCTAGCTTGCCTACCAGTCATCACAGGAGTGAATTGTGATTAGAAAGACTACTTCCAGTTGGGTGAATAGTAGAACAGGTCTAAAAAAGTGCAGTGATGCTGCACACTTTGCTAGTCTGTCCACGGGAGTTCTCATTTGTGTTCTTGTTCTCACGTGTGCAAATTATCTTCAGTGCTGGGGGACAGCAATTTGCATTTTCAAGCTTTGCTGCTCTTTCCTCTTTTTGCCCTTTGTCTTGTTCTGCTGTAGTACTGAATATGAACAACAAAACCAGCTCGGAAACATTTAAACTCATTTTTGCCATTTCCTCCACAAAAAAAGTGATAAGACCAGCTAATAAAGCTTGCACAGAAGCCAGATTTTTTTTTTTTTTTTAATTTGGCTAAGGGGATTAATGAAGATGTTTTATATGAAAACTACTGAACTATTTAAGTTTTTAAATTTTTTGTTATTTGTGTTGAGCAGAAGGTTATAGATTTTAATATAGCTGTTATATGGAGGGAAATTTAGATACAATTCTACCTAAAAAAAACATAAACTGTGTTTTTATCAATAAAGAGGATATATTAGCATCTTATCCATATTGAACCAAAGAAACATCTTTATTAGTATAACAATCTCCAGATGCTATATGTAAAATACTTTTTACCTTAAATGTCCTATTACATGTATATGTAAACTTTAGTTACAGCTAAGAAACTTAAAACATAAAAATACCCCACCCCACTCAACCTTTAATTTCAGCTCTGATCTTTAAAACATGTAAAAAGAAAATGGCATTGCCTCTGGAGTAAAGTTAGAGGGAAAAATCTGTTATTTAGAAAACCTGATACAAGGATTGATTTCTTATCTCCCTTTGCAAGCTCAGTAGCAGCTTTAGCAGCTTTAATCTGAACAACAGATCTTCTAGTTTGGAGGATGCTGTTTGAAAGCTTGTATCTCTGTTTAAAGTCAACATATAGAAGGGGTCCTTTAGATGAACTGTCCAGCAGAATACCATCCGAATGCATGAGATTACCAGCCAAGCAATAAAGTCTTAGGCCTACTTTTATCTTTTTCTGTGTTTCTTCATGCAAACACAAAGACATCTATAATTTGTTACAATAGACATGCTGTGAATTCTGAAGCTGTTTCCTGAAATGGTTACCAAAATGATACTTTTCTTGAAAGTATTACTGAAAGTCATGACAGAATTTGTATCACAATTAGGTTCATCTTCTGCATACATTTACGAGTTTATTCTTCTAAAGGAAAGAAGTAAACATTCACTCTTGTGACAGAAAAAAACCCATGCCCATCTTTGTACTGCTGCTCTCTGTTCCTAAATGCTTGCCAATTCAAAATTGCAAAGAAAAGTTCCCTAGTGCATACAGAGCCAAAGGAACTCACTGCTATGAGTTGTGAAAGCCACAATCTTGGCAGTTAGAGCAGGGCTAAGATGGGGTTTTTGGCTGAAAACATCCACAAACATTGAAATAGAAGGAAGAAGACCTTGGAAAGAATGTAAACAGTTGGCTTTTGAGCCCTGCTTCTGGGTAATGAAACACTTGACGAAATGAGCTTTTTACTTACTACCTTCTACAAGGTTTCTCGCATCTTGCTCTGAAATATCTAATATGGAAAGTCACAGTTACCTTATGTTGTGAAGTAGATGGATCAGCAATCTGGTCAAGTATGACCAAGAAAATGATGTTCCTCTTGGTTTTAGTAATGGTTTGTGTGAACTGGAGATCAGTTTGCGCTCTCAAAGCTTGCTTTTGAAGGCTCTGATATCATATTAAGGAGAATGAGCTTTTCTTTCACAGGGAATTTATTTTTATGTTTTCTGATGGTATCAAAACCTAGGACTTAATATGTGTGAGGCAAAGACATTTGAACCGTTGACAAATCAGAGCATATATAGCAAAAATTATTCTGCAGCATTTCTCACTACAGTGAAATATGGTGTGAGGACTGACCATTTTATCAATATGTCATTTAGGTATCTAATATCTATATGAGGAATTTGGTATTGCATCCTTTTTTGGAAGTGAGTACAGTGAAGTACAACATGCCAGACCTTGTAAACAGACGTAGAAGTTTCTGGGAGCTTTTCTTCCCTTTTCCAAACTCATACTAGTGCTAGGGATAATCACACTCTGTGTGTGTGTGCATGCACACGCTTGTTCTTGTGTATGTGCATGGATGTGTCTAAACCCTATTTTAAATGCAAATAGTCAAAGCAAAGGCAGGATTAAAAGCTATGGCTAGCAATGTTGTGTGTCTAGTTGTCACAGTAGTTAGAGACAATGTGTAGCAGATGGATGTAACAACAGTTTATCTGGTGATAACTGCATCTTCTTTGTCTCTGTCAGAAAACCCCAGTACAAACAAACCAACCAACCAACAACAGGGACAGTGGAGAAGAAAAATGAGAGTGCTCGGTAAGTGAAATAATCACATATGTGTGTCTTTTGATACTTCATTTTTATATGACCCAAGGCTGACAGATCCAGATTATAAGTATCACTTTTCTTATAAAAGCTGGTCTGCACAAAAATTATATCCTACCCAGAGGAAAACATGTACTTAGTGCAAAATCAGTGTACTGTATGACTTGGCCCCTCTGTACAATAAAGTTTGCTGCTACACAAAGCTTCAGGTGGTTTTAATTTCAAACTGAATTTCTGATCTCTTCCAGGCTCTCTGAGTCTCTTTACTACTGCAATAATCAAAATTGTTCCCTTCCTCTGATACTGGGCAGTGCACAGTGCACAAAAATGTATGCCATGTTGAGGAGATGAAGATTTTCTAACCTGCTGGAGGTGCTTGGGCTTCTGACTTCCAGGTAAGAGAAAATTAACCAAGTAGGAAAATTAACAATAAACAGAATGATCATGTGCTGATTAATGCAGCACTTAAGTTTGCTCAGGACAGTATCGTGCTTTGGTTCAGACTGTACTTTCAGTTCTGTTCCTGTGTCAAAGTGAAGATATAGTTGCAAGTCTTGTGATGACCTTGAGCTGAATGTGCCAGCCCTGCCTTCTTGGGTGAGGTTTTCCATTTCTCAGGAGAAAGAAAAGAGTATTTAATTTTCTGTAGCAGATTCGGTCGGTTTCTAGTAACAGCTGATCAGTCAAATAGTTAGCACTTACATAGCACTCCATATGTTCAAACTACTGTACAGATATAAAGTGACTAATGGGAGATAAGGTGGACTGAAATATGCTCCTAGATTATGATACCATGTAAATATGTGCAGTCCCACCTGTAATCTATCTTTCTGAAGTAGACAGGATGAAAATTTGAAGTCAGTACACGACAATTTGAAATAATTTTGTTGTGATGGTCCACCCCCACTTCTTACGCTGGGAGCTGATTGTTGGAAGGCTTTCCTGATGGTGGAGGTAGTCTTTCCTTGTAACAGCAGATGTTAGGGGCAGAATCTGTGTCAGCAGCTGCATTTATTCCAAAACCTTGGGAGGTATTTTGTGTTAAGTTACCTACCTGTGAAAACATTAAACGTATGGATGCAATGGTTGAGCAAATTTGGTTTAACAGGCCCTTGTAAGGGCTGGGTAAGCACAAGCTGCACCAGTTTTGCAATCTCAGTTCCATGTTGTACCTTTAGAAAAAAATACATCATCTAAAGCTTTAATTGATGAAAAGCTGCATACACTCACCACAACGTTATTTAAAAAACAAATAATGATTTAATAATATAAAACTATCGACTGTTATTTCCCTCTGGATGCAGTTTCCTAAGAATACGTGTGTCTCAGGTTTCTATGTAAACTATTAGCAGTTTGACATGTTTGCATACATGTCTTTTTTATGTTTAGTGGGGATCATGTGAAAGTGAAGATTCTGAAAGATCAGGTTCTGAAGCATGTTATCTTATTTACCATTATTAAATTACTAGAATCCATTTCAAATTTGTAAAAGAACCATGAGAAAAAAGAATATGGGCAGTGTGTTGTCTTCCACACCCTAAAGCAGCAAAAGATTTTGGAATGCTTTGTCAGAGCATGCCAGGCTTTCAGATTAGACGTTTGTCAAATCTTGTTTCTGTGTATGGGTGGCATTTCTGCAAATGAAGAGCTTGACTGTTCTTTGAAGATGTGACTCCGCATCAGGGTGTGGTCCAGCATATCAGTCCTGCCAGGTGTTTCACAGGATATTTAATATGACTCAGCCTGTCACAGAGCTTCTCTGTAGGTAGTGGATGCAGTGTACACACTGTTCCTTCTGGCTATCACAAAGATTGCTGGCATGAAAAGATGGAAGATGTCATCACTTTGTCTCTCCTGGTGACACCATTGGGAGTGGCTGGCACCTGCAGTCTTGCCAAAGAACAAGTACTTCTGATCAGGCTCTTAGCTGGTTTGTCCCTTTAGTTTGTTTCTCACAAAAGATAATTTCAAACAGGTTTTTAATTTTGCTTCATGCTAACACTACAGAAGGAAGTTCTGGTTCATAGTACACATCATCTTTAAAAAAAAAAAATATCTCCTTCATATATCCACAATATTTTGTAGGTGCGTGAACAACTGGGAAACTAACCTTCAGAAACAGAGGGATTACATTTCCTTAGAGATGTCTCGGTCATGCGATTTAACTGCTGAGAGACATGTATATGCAAATTGAGACAGTGGGTTGAAGGAGATGAGTATCTTCCATATAAATGGATTTCTGAGGTTTCTTCTCTTGGTTCTCTTTTTCTTAGATTTCAATCATTTTGAAATATAAAGTAAAACTGGATAGAGCCCAAATCATCTCCAGCATTACCTTCATTGACTTTGGATTGTATTCTCCATAACTGAGCTGGTTTTGAAGGTTCATTCAACTCTATCCTGTATTATGTTTGGCAACGACAATTCATCAGCTCAGTTCCTCACTTCCATCATCCACAAAACAGCTCTCTGATTTCTTGTTATTACTGAGACATATGAACTTGAATTATTGAAACAGCTATAACACATGAGCAGAATATAAAATAAATGTTCTCTATATATTCATGTCTATTTTAAGGACTTATGTTACCATCACTATCAAATCATAGGTAAGTAAAATAAATTAGAGCTGTTCTTTGTCTACATGTATTGTTAACATAATGAAAGAATGCAGCTGCAGTAAATCAGCCCAAAAGTCAGTCTAGGGCATCCTGTCTCCAATGGTGACCAAAGACAGATGTCGTAAGGCAGACAGTGAGTGGGCCAAACATAATGACACTGCACTACTCTCTCAACTTCTAGTGATCTGCAGCTCAGAGACTTCCTGAGACAGATTTTTTTTAGTTTAAGGGCCCTCTTGCACTTTTTTTTTTCTACTATTTTTTCCAAATAAAAACTGATTCCACATAAACGTTTGGCTTTCAGAATGTCCTGTAGCAAGGACCTCCACAGCTCAGCTCTATGTTGTATCATTTCTATGTACCACAATTTACCACATTGTTAGTAATACCATAGAAGAAACCGAGTTTCCAATCACTCTGAATTCTGGATGCTTCCTTTGCTGGAAGCTTGCAGTGTCCTTAAGAGAACCTAAATTTCTCCTGCAGGTATGTGCTTACTCTTTATTCAGTTTAGAGAGGGTATTCAAAATCACTAGTCACTTTTGCAAACCTTGGGCTGGGAACTTGAAATTATCCTCCTTCTCAGAGCAGAAAAGCAGCATCTGTCCTGATGATAAAACTCAACCTCACATTTGCAAGGATAAAGAAATGAAGATCATTGGAGGCACTTCCTCACTGCCTGTTAGAAGACAGCATCATAGAGCTTAAGGAGAGGTATCATGGCACATTAGATCAAGCCTTGTTACCAGGCATCTGGGTTAGAATGCGCTTTGCAGCTTTTTGAAATTTCTAAATTGTTTTATTCACTGCACAATTAAATGTACAATTTAATAATGTTTTTTGTTCTTTGAGCATGTCTCTCTTGCTTATGCTCTTCCACTTTTCAGGCACATCTCAAGGCAGCCAAATTATAACATACTCATTTATGCAGTGGAAAGTAAGAACTTTCATAAAATGGAAACACAATCATGGTACATTCACAGATAAATTTAGCAGCAACATTGCATCCAGTACTTGCAGCAAGTGCATTGATTCTTAAAGACCCAGAAGCCAATGCTAAAAAAAACCCCAAAACCTAACCCAAAAACCAGTGAATGTTTCCTTAATAAATATGGGATCAAGGGGATGGCAGAGGGAAGTGTAGAATAACATTTTATACTCTCAGTTTTACTTCTAATTTCAGGGAAGGATGATTATAAGACATATAAAAAAATAAAGTTTTCCCTAAGACAGGAGGTATGGAGCTGGTCCCTCCTACTCAGTACTGCTTATTAGTGCCCTGTGCACTTTTACCATTGACTTTACTTACTGAGTGTGGTAAAAAGCCAAGCTTTAGTGGAGATAGAATTTCTATAACTGTATGTACACTGCATGGCACAGTAACCAGGGAAATTACACCAGTACAATTGTTTATTCAGAGAATTTTCTTGATGACAGAAAGAAACCAAAGGCAATATTAGAAATACCATCACTTATGATGCATTACTAACATGCTGTTGTTTTGTGTATGTAGAGAACATCTGTACTTAAAATTTTTTGTAACATTATTTTGCTACTGCAAACTGTTCTGAAGAGACAATTTTTTGACGTAGACAGTGGAGGTGAAGACAGAACTCCCTGGTAGGCTTAGCAGTTTTCCTAGAAACTTCCTGCTAAATTCTGTCAGGGAAGGTGCACAGAAAAGGACATTCCTTTAAAACCATGTGCCAAATCAGATAATTTTGAGATCAGACATTAAGGTGTCAGAGGGGATTTGTACTACCTTACTTAATCCCCTGTATGGACCAGGCAGAGTAAACATGACTCCTCCCAGCTCTCCTTTGCCAGAGAAGATGCCCTTTCAGTTATAGCATCCCTCAGCCTTTGACTCTCACAGTATTATCATTGATTTTCATGTTGCATAGCAGGGTAGCTATAGAGTTTCAGAGGTTAGGATATATACCAATATATTTGAAGCTCACTTTCTAACCAGTAATTATAATAAAATGTGATCGATTGAAGCCAGACTTTGTTCGTAATTACACTTTTGAAAGCCAAATTGATTTAGAATTGTTGAATCAGATTGTAATTGTTTAATAAAAGCAGAATTTAAGCTGTTCCCTGAGAGTCCACAACAGAATGCTGTAAGGAACTGAAGGAAGTAATGCCTCAAATATTCATTGACACAGAAAACCTCAAGGACAAACTGTGGCCTTTGGATAAGTCTGAGGAACGTCACCCAAAGAAGCAGGAGTGTATGGAAGGATGCATCCCCCACTCCCTTGCAGTTGCATTGTCAGACTCCTTAGATAAGCCTCAGAGGGGGAGACATGGACTGAGCAGAAACCAGGTTGTTTTCCCTCAAGCACAAGTACCGCTAAACCTGATACTTTGTGGCTCTGTTGTGCAAGCCAGACACCATGTTTGCCTTGCTAATGACCTCGTACCTTCACCACTGAAGTGGTAACAAGAACTGGTAAGAGGTGATAATTTCTGGGATGTGTGATAAGATCTCTGGGAACAGAGGAAAAACCGAAGCTGAGCAAGGGAAACCAACTTAACTGGAATGCATGCTTCATCTTTTTCCTTGTCTTTTGTGGAAATGAATTTGTGGAATACCTGCCCCTCCTCGTCTAGTATGCTTATCAGTTAATAAGATTAACTTAAAAAGGCAAAAGAAACTTTGCTGTGTGTGCACCCACTACCCAGGATTACTGGACGTGAGACAATGCTGGATCCAGGGGTGGTGATCCAGATTTCTTTGACTCTCCATTCCTCTCCTCCCCATAGATTTA